CCGGGGGCCACCCTGTCCCCGCCCTGGGTGGAAGCTTCCAGAAGCCCGCCCCTCGGAGGAGGAGCGAACCTGGGTGCTGCTTTTCGGGTCCCTGGATTCCTCCCTCCCCGTGCGGAGGCGGGTGGATGGAGGGAGGGTGGCTCGGGCAGAGGCTTCTGTCCCACCACGGCCCTGCCCGGGTGTCTCCAGGGCGCCCCTCCCATCACAGTGCGGCCCTGGGCTCCTGCGCTGTCGGAAGAGAGCTCGTGCCTTGGACTTACTTTCTTCTGCGGTGTCCCTTTACACACGCGACATGCATGGCGCTGCGGGGCGTCGCCTTGGGTTTGGTGAACGCCCTGCCCACGTGTCGCAGGTGTCGGGCCATGGGGCGCCCAGAGCTTCTCCTTGTCCCTGGTGCACCTCCCAGGCCCCGCCCTTGGGCGTCCAGCGTAGTCCATGCCACCTGACCTGTGTGTCGTGGCAGCCAGATCAGACAGCGTGCCCTCCCTGTGTGAGCCTCTTAGTCTCCTCCCGAGGGTTCGGCATCACCTGTGGGTGCCGTGCCCTTCACCTTCAGCACTCCGTCTTGGTGTGGGGGTCGTTCTGTCGGGTGTTCCCCACCCTGCGCTGCCTTGGGCTGAGCCCCCACGTCCTGGCTCACCTTTGTGCAGCCTGGTTTTGTGTCTCCGGTAAACCTCAGGAGTATGTGCTTCGAGTTTCCCAATCTAGGGGAGGGGCCTGTGAGGTGTCCTGAGAAAGGAGCAGCCCTTTTTCAAAGTGGGGTTGATGTGATTGACCATCGCACCCGGGGCTCTCGATCTGGCCAGGAAGCTTGCCGCCTTTCCCAGTGGCCTTGCAGGGAGAGCTCACGCAGCAGTAGTTTAGGTTTCTCTGGTGACCCTGCTCCACAAGGCTGGGAGCAGGGAATGTTCAAAAGGAGCCTAGCCGTGCCAGGTGGTGGCATTGTAAGGTGGGCGGTGATAGCGACTGGAGCCAGGGGTCCAGGGCCCCAGGGCAGGGACTGTAGGGCCCCAGGTTGGGGGTCTTGTTGGAGGAACAAGGACATGAGCCTTGAGGGACGTCCAGGGGAAGGGCTAGGTCTGCAGCTGACTGAGGGGTGACTCCCCACCCACACCTCCACCCTGTGCAGGTCCTGCTGACATGATGGTCCTCCTGGCTTTGCTTCTGCTCCTGGGCCTGCCTCAGGTGAACATGGACACTGAGAGAACTGGAAGACAAGGTGAGCCCCCCCCCCCAACCCCAGGGAGACAGCGAGGGGCGGGAGCTGTTAGGGGTGGGGGAAACTGCCTAGCTCAGAGCAGTGAATTTGGCTGGGGCCTGGCCACCTCCCCAGCCCTGGCTTCTGTAGGGGTCAGGCTGCAGGCCTAGGCTGGCCTGGCCACCTGGGCTTAGGAGGGGCATCTGAAAGCTGGATGCTGACCAGCTTCTCCCCGAGGGTTGCACTGGGAGGCTGGTGGGGGTCAGGATGAGGGAGGGCTTAGTGAGTGGGAGAGGCAGGCCTCCCAACAAGTACTCCTTCCTTGGCCTAGCGCTGTGTGTGTCTGCGGGTGTCCCTGTGTCTGGGTGTGGGGTGTGCCACTGAGCAGGGGTGGGTGTCAGTGTGTGTTCTTCCGTGCCTGGGGGTGTGTGCCTGAATGAGGGAACCCCCGGGAGAGAGTACAGGATCTCGTGTGAAACGGGAGACTGTGCCCCATGCTGCCCCCACTTGGCATGGCAGGGGAGTGGCGAGCTCTTCAGCATTCTCTTCTTTTCATTTCCAAAGCACGACTGAGGTGTCACGTTTGTGAGCAAGAAAACAGTTTTAATTGCCAGGGAGCTGTAGACTGTGCAGCAAGTGAGAAGTTTTGTGCTGTCGCGGCTGTGCGTGAGTGACTCACTCTTGTCAGGGGCCCAGGGGTGGGGCAGCAGAGGACTCTCTGGAATTGGTGTCCTTGTAGTTGTCCTCAAGAGAGGATGAGTACTATCAAGGGACTGCTTTCTGTAATTCTAAAGAATAAAGTTCCGAGAGTCGGGGTGGGGGACGTGGAGGTGTGGAGGCAGGGGTGAGCTGGTGAGGGGCCTGCCTTCGGTAGGAGCAATGGTGCGGGCCTGCACACCCTGCCCCGAGCCAGGGAGAAATAGTGGGCGGGAGGAAGAAGGTAGAGTGCATTTGGTTTGATTTTAAGGGGAAAATTTAGCTTCGCCTATGTCATATGCCGCACCAATAGTCTAGTTTTTATCAAACACAAATGCAACTGGGGTTCAGGGTTAAAGTGTGTTCTCTAAGGAGTGCACGTGCTTTCAAAAGATCTGAGATCCGTGCGCTTGCTGTGAACTCCCCCAAGAACTCTGGGTACTTGAAGACTTCCCAAGTTGGGATTCTGACACCCCCAACTTTATGCCCGCAGTGTCCTTCAGGGCTTGAGCTTTCCAGCCCAGTTCTCAGTCATTCTACAGGGCCTCCTGTCTTCACAAAGATTGTGAGAAACAGGCAATGGTTCCAGCTGAGTTTCACCAACATAGATTTTATCATGTAATGTAGAAAAATAATTCACACAATGAAATATAGGATAAAATCAGGTATTAAGACTAGCCCCGGGTTGACCATGTAGTCTAGAACTCAAGGGAGTTCGATCCCACGTGGTGGACTACAGTTTGAATACTGGCCTCAGCATCTTGAAAACATACCCAGCACATGCACGTACATGGCCAAAATCCCAGCAGGAGGAAGACATGGAGACCAAGGCATTGCAGCTGACCGTACTCCCTAGGGTAGTGCTTTCTCCCTCTTCTATCTCTAGTCTTCTGTTTTCTCTAGCATGCACATATGCCCTCCACAGCTTAAAGCACAAAAGATCAGCTCCCCAGCCCAGAGATGAACTGGACCCACTGGGAGGCCAGTTCCAAGTCCTGGTCATTGGCCATGGTAACTAGCAGTCCCTTGCCTACGTGTTTGTGTGTGTTACCAAGGCCTGCGCCAACTCTGCATTTGGGAAGATAGGGTTCCAGATGCCATTATGTTCCTAAAAGACCCACAGGTACACATGCTTAGTGAGTGGACAGACCAGGATGGGGCCACCTGATGGGTGTGCTGTACACCAGCCAGCCACCTCCACAAAGTAGTTTTTCCCTTTAAGTTTATGTATTTAATTTTTTCCATGAGAGAGAAAGAGAAACAAGCATCCTCATGAGGACTTTTGAGCACAATCTAGCCCAGCTCCAGCCAGCCCAGGTCTCGGGCCCAAAGAGAGACAGGGTCATGAGCTCCGGACCTGACTCTGTAAGTCCAGCATTGCAGTGTGGTGCATGACCACCAAACCACCACCTGCCCCACCACACATGGCTCCAGACAGGAAGGCCTGGCACTCCTCCTGAATGATGGTTCCTGACCCTGCCCTGGTTGTACCCTTTGGGTAAACCTCTGAGAGGGGTGCTGAGGAGTGATGGTTTGACAGAAAGGTTTTGGGTTCATGTAATGTCCATCTCTCTGTCTTTTCCTCTTAGAAATATTCCCACGGTTCTACTACGTTTCGAAGCAGTGCTCCCAGTTTTGTCCATTAATTGAGAGACCACCCCCTGAAGAAAAGTCCTTTATCCTTTTAAAGCCTTTGCCCTTCTTATATGTCAAGTGTTGTGAAAGCAACTTGTGCAACAGCGAGGGGCTCTTAGTCAATGAGACGATGTTCAGAGAGCACGTGGGGAGAGCGAGCGAGCAGAAACACGGCAGTGTTAAGCTGGCAGGTCTCCTGCTGTTGGTCTCTGCCCTGGCCAGCCTCAGTCTGTCCTGAGCTGCAGGAAGCGTGCAGTTGCCAGGCCTCCTGGGGTAGGAACCTGCTGTAAACTGTTGGAATTGTTGCATTAAACTTGGTTCCTGTTGATTTCTTCTTGGTCTAACTTTCCAGGCACTGTGGAATGGGAGGGTGGGGACCAAGTCCAGTTGGCTCTAAGCTCAGGAGCTCTCCCACCTGCGTTCAGAGCAGGTGCACATCTTCTGCTGGCGATTCCATTGATGAATTTTCCGCCAAAGTCAGCCTCATTATCTGTTGTTGACAGTAGCTGCTGCTTCTCCTCCTAACCTCATGGGGCAGGAGAGGGGACTAAGGACCACTCATAAAGAGCATTGCAGGCTTGGATGATCCCGACCTTTCAGGTGACCCCAGTGGGGGAGACTAACTGATACAGGGGTGAGAAATTTCTAGAGTGAGGATTTCTTCACAGGGGATCCTGGGGCACCAGCTTGTCCTGTAACTGCTCTTTATCAACACTTCCTTCTATTAAATGTAAGGGAAGAGATTCTGATGAGTGTATTAGCACAGGTGCATGGATTCCCGAGTTCTCCACATGTCTGTCCAATATCTGAAACATGGGTGAGGTATATAGCACCTGCTGGTTTCCGTTTATTTTTCAGTTAAATAGCAACCACCCAAAGAGAGCTGAGCAGTCGGACCCAGTTCTACATGCACACTTTCTTCCTATTGTGCTGCTTAGTGACTCACCCCACTGACTATCTTGTCCCTTCTGTCCCCACATGGTCTGACACAGGCAAGTTTCTGGGTGAGGAAATATGGAGAACCTTCCAGAACATTACTGTGCTCCGTAGAAGTCCATTCTGGGAGCAGTGGGCAAGGAGAGACCTCCAGGGCTGCAGCTCCAGGACTGGAGGAGACCTAAGTGTCCTTGGGCCACTCGTCTTTTACCTGACCCCAGGCTCTATGTTCACTTCTTGCCCTTTACACCTACACCAGTTACAAGAGCTCCACTGCTCTGGCTTCAGATAACCAACTGCAGGTCAGGACCCATCGCAGGTCGGGAGCATGGCCTTTGCTAGGGCAGGGCAAAGGACAATAGGTGCTCCAGCCAGGAAGAATAAGGGAAGTAAGTGATCAACCGTGTGAGAGTGAGTCTCTGGAAACCTGACAGTGAAGTTTCTTCTGTAATGTGCAGTGTAAAATAACAGGAAATCCAGAGAGGTGAAGTCCTAAATTTGGAACTAGTTTATCTTTGATAATATTACAGAGAGCTTTTAATGACTTAATTATGGGAGATAAATAGGGTAAATTAGAATGAAGCATGGGATATGCTGTCGCCAGTCAGTAGACAGTGTCTAGAAGCTGCTGTGGAAGAAAAGGCAACATAGAGGGTGGTGGTTAGAAATGACCAGGCATCAGTAGACACCTGAGGTGCTCTTGAGTGTAGAAGCTTGAGTCTTAGTGACCAAAGGTCAGGCATCTGTTGAAAGTGAGGAGTTGAAGAAGCAGGAGACAGCAGCTCAGCAGGCTAGAAGGGCCTTGCACACATGAAGAGAATGGGGTACAAATCTAAGGCTTTGCATCAACAGGAAGAGCCTGGCAGAGCAATAGGATGAACACAAGAAGATTGGGCATGGGGGCCAGGAAGTCATTTCTCTACAAAACAGTACAGAGAGTAGAGGACAAGAGCATGGATGAGGCTGGACTTGAAGTGGCACAACAACAGCTTGGGACAGTCCCTAAAGGCCAGAGAGAAGGGAGAGCATGGGGGACATAGGCTAGCCCAGCAGGGTGGCAGTCATGACCGAGCTGGGCACAAACACTTGCAGAGACCCAAAGAGTGTGGTTGGACCTTTCCCTGGAGCAGCCCCTGTGTACAAGCAGGGCAAGGAACTAAAGAATTAGCTGAAGTGAGCAGGTTCTCAAGTTCACAAGGGCAAGAGAACTACAGGTCATTTCCAGGAAGCAGTGGAGTTGGACAAAGCCTGGGAGCTTGACTGGGTGGTGAAGGCAGTCAAATTGAGGTAGGAAATACATTCTCACAGATCATGGCCCAGGCCGGGGGCTGGGATGACACACAGCAATGTGCTGGAAGTCACAGAGAGAAGAGCACTGAAAGCCATAAGGACTCAGCAGAGGACAGAAGGAGACTCAAGAGGAACAGGGAAGGAGCAACTTACGTGACAGATGGCACCGCTAAAACAGACCACTGTATTACAGCTGGGACAGGGTAGTGAGGATGAGAGAAAACAGCAGGTTGTGGTGACTGAAGAGGAAAAAGTTGTACTTCTCACCCACTGAGTATGCTTGCAGCTCTGAGTGCACACAGGGCAGGGTGGACGTGTTGTTTCCATAAAAGCAGCATTGCTTTCGACATTCTGAATTCTCTTAAGATATATATCCATGTTAAGAATCATCATGTGTAGGCTTCAAAAAACAAAGAAAAAATTAAAATCTGGGGGTCCACTTTGTGGTTCTCTAGGGAAAAATACGTCGGGAACTCCAGAACTGCTGGTCTCCTGATGAACTCGATGGCTCACGTAAAAACTCACAGGGTGGCACCTGAAGCATAGACTCCATGCCTTGCTCTCTGAACATACAAAGTGACTTCCTATAATACACAAGCATAACTCATACTTCCTGAACACATAGGCTCTATGAACCCTCTATGTCTTTGAACAAACATGTCCATGATCTGAAATGTTATTCTGACTCAAATACTAAGGAAACGACTAAATCCTTTCATGGACAAACACAGAACTGATACTACAAGACACAGCACAAGAAAGGAAATTAGAGGCCATCCTAATTGTGAACTATCAACCTAAAAAGGTAAACCGAGTCAGAATGTTAAAAGGTTTAGTCTAAGCCAAAACACCCAGCAGTTTTCAATCTGGATAAATATAATTCAGGTAGATCCAAAAATGTACTCACTGAAGTTTTTCAGTCCTCAGATTTAAAAGCAAAAACTGGGCTGGCCCCATGGCCTAATGGTTAAGACAGCTGGATCCCACATGACTGGCTGTGTAGTCTGAGTCTTGGATACAGTAGCTTGAGAAATACACCGGGTATGTGTGCATGCATGCCCAAAATCCTGAAAGAGATATGGAGGAAGAATTCTTAGTGTGACCATCTGCTATAGGGGTAACGGACGCTTTCTCCTCTCCTCCTGTCTGTCTCTCCGGTGAGTGCACATGCCCTCTAGCTAAATACATACATACATACAGGCAAAAGCCACAAAAAGGAAAAGGATGGGGCAGGGATTACCTCATTGTTTTGGGACATTTATCCTTGGTTATCAGGATCAATAACAAGGGGGACATTGACCTACAGTTGGACAGGCAGTCTCTGGGCAGACATCCTAGCAAACATAACCCTTGTGTCCTGCTACAGTGGCCTTTTGTACAAGACCATGATTCAGCCAGAGTTCACTGAGTCCTTGTGATCAGACATGCTAGTGTGAGAAACACCTCCGTGGCCTTCCTGGCTTGACATAAATGACTCCATTATGAATTTTAAAAATTGTCCAGAAAAAAAGTTAGCTAATCAAATCCAAGTGTAGGAAAATAATAACACTTTTTATTTTTTAATTAATTTACATTAATTCACTGAACATCACCACAGCATACAAAATGAGATTTTCCATCCAGAATATATCACATAGTGGCTTAATTATACATGTTATCATTGATAATTTTACATTTCTAGTTTCACATTCCTTTTGTTCCCCACATTTTATTGATTCACAAAGTTTATTAAATAATCTAACTACTTTCATACTAAGTTCAGTTGGTATATACATATCTGTGAATTCATGTCTGACTTTAGACAGAAACTCTGAGTAGAATGAATATACTATAAGGTAGCACCTTGCTGATGCTATGTAGCTTACTACGGTCATTAAATAGGTATTTTTTTTAATTTCAAGAAAAGCAGCTTTAGCTTTAATAAAAAAAAAATGCTAAGGAACTTTGCTTAAAACTTAAAGCCAAGAAACAGGTTAGGATTCTGTTCAAATAGTAGGTACATGAACCTATCTTCAGCTCAAGACAGGAGAAAAATCCTTAAAACCAGAAAACAAAGCCTAGAAGAAAATCAGAAATGTTTTAGTCAAAAGTCATAAAATGCTATTTTACCAGTTCAGTCTCATGTACTTTATCTTCTATTGTGGTCCCATCTTCCCGATTAAATTCTGGGATATAATACTCAACACCAGATTTGTCCCTACGATTAAGTTGTCCATTTCTTAGTTTTTGAACTCTTATTTCTGTGTGTCTGTATTTAGTTTTCCTGGTATAGCACTCCCGTGAAAACTTCTTGGAGATCTGGTCTAGTGTTGGTAAATTCTTTCAGGTTTTGTTTAATCTGAGAATGTTCTTGTCTTTTCTTCCCATATGAAGGATAATCTTGTTGGGTACAGTATTCTTGGTTGAAATTGCTTTTCCTGTAACACTTTGAATATATTTTCCCATTCTTTTCTCACTCACATTGTTTGCAATGAGAGGCCCACTAATAACACATTATTATTAATGCATAATTATACATCATGACCTAATTACCTCCCAAGAACCACAATGGAGATTAGGTTTCAACATGAATTTTGGGGGACACAAATTCATACCACAGCATTCTGCTCCAACCCCCCAAAGTTCATGTCCTCCTTACTGGGAAAATGCATTTATTCCATCCAACAGTCTTAATTCCAGCTATGTCTTTACCTAGTTCCACATCAACTCAAAGGTCTAAACTCCAAAAGTTCATCTAAATATCATATAAGTAAGATATGGGTAATACTCAGGGTAGGACTCATTCCAAGGCAAATTCCTGTGAAGGAAGGGGTGCAAGGTCCCAAGTCCAAAATCTAAGAGGGAAAACATTAAATCTTAAGGCATCAGAGTAATTTTCTCTCATTTTATGAAGAGGCATTTATTTCTGTATGTATGTATTTATGCCAGAGGGTGTATATGCATGAGAGAGAGAATGGGTGCATTCTCCAGCAGAGTGTGGTTGTGCTACCATCTGATTTCCTCTTCTCCATCCCATCAGGATGTGGAGTATGTACACATAGGCCTGGTATGTTTTCCAAGTTAC